GGGCCCCTGGTCCCAGGGGGCTTCATATGGCAAAGATCATGCTCTGACTACACATAGCCAATGCGGGTCAGGCACTGAACCTCAGCTAGAAACCCAGAGTACTTGCAAGAAATGTGCAGACGTTTCTTAAACAGCTTTGCAAGAAATTTCCCTGGAAGAGAAAATGAGTTTGATCTAGGTGGGAGCGGAGTCAGTCTTGAGACATTTGTGGAGGCACCTCCACTGTACTCCCTGGAACATCCAGTATTAGCTGTATTTATTTGGATTTGTCTGTTTGTTTCTCTGAATTATGAAAAATTTTAAAGGAAATTTGTATTCTTTTGATTTACCTGCTTTCTTGATAGTTTATTGTGTAGTTAAGACATACCGATTTAAATTTCTGGAGGGGTGAGGCTGATGTTTGGCTTCTTTTAATGAACGAATGTTTTGTTATACTTGTAAAAGTTAAGCTTTTTATGGTTAAACTGTTGATACCCACCAGCATACCAACTGTATAGCTTCATGTAAGGTATTTGACAGAGAAGGCTGAACGTGCCGACACCAGAGGGAAGGCGCACTGCGTGTGTGAGCAGAGGGAGCTTGCAGGGTATTATTAATGTGTGGAGGCTCCGTACGAGGCAGGGATGGGACAGAGAGTGGCAAGAATGAAGGCGTGCACTGATCTTCCATGGTCGGGCTGTGTGGTCACCAGCCCTCTCCTCCCCACCTCCCCAAACCCTTCTGCTGTGAGCAAGGCAACAGTCTCCTGTGACTGGTACACGTTATGCTCAGAAAAACATGACTTCATGTAAATAAATAAGATTTTATCAAACATGGATCCAGTATCAGTTTTTCCTCCAAAGTGGAACAACTTGTAGGATTCTGGTTTGGTTTGATTTCCGCCCCCGCCCCCCCCCGGCTTTGAACTGACCATTAACAGTATATGATTACCACTAAGATACTAATGAAACTCCCTTCCTTTATTTTAAATTTAGGAGGTGTTTAGTCTTGGAGGGCAACATAGTAGAGCTATTGTCACCCAGGCTGGGTGAATAGTATTAAGCAACATAGTATGCATATGTAACTTAGGAATGTAGGAAGTTCTATGCATACTAGTTACTGTACTAATAACACTAGTGACCTTCTCTGGTTGTTTTTTCTGTCTATGAATACATAATTATTTGCGTACAATATTTAATATTAAGAATATGACACAACTGCTTAACTGTAGTAAGACTTATCGCTGGGGTTGATGCTGCGTGCTTATTCTAGTCATTGGTGCCTAAACATCACAGTACATTTAATATATAATGTCATATACATACTGATGTGAGCATAATGTACTGCTAGTAGCTCAGCAGAATGGGAACTTTGTACTGATGAAATGTCAGTCTTAATTTTTGATTAACTTAGCTGTGGGCATTTTATGTCAAAACCAGAACTGGCCAAATACTGCAAAATGCTATGCATGAAAATACTTTCATTTCTTTAATGTCTTGCAGATGTGCAAGTGTTCTTTTCATATAGTCTTTCAGAGATGTTAGTGGCCATGTGTACTGGAAGGGATTTCATCAGATTTAACACCTTTAAGCAGTGGCTAAAAAATATAGTCAGAAAATGAGCCAGTAATTAAACTAGTCACACTGGAAAAGGAATTCTAAAGTTTGTGCTGAGCAAAGGAAGAAATGAAACTCACCGTGCAGGGTCTTTGTTCAAACTGTTTAGCACATGTGTTTTCAATACCTGTTGGAACTGTGATTCTACTGATGAGTTGTTAAACCATCCATGGGTTGAAATATTTTTTCATAAAATGTTGTTTAGAACCTTTATGGCTGTTCACAGAGGGTTCGTGGCTGAGAAGAGGGGAACCGTGCTCAGTGAAAATTGCTTGCTAGGAATACTGTGTGCCTTAGCCACATCTGCTCATAATAATTGAGGAAGGTGGGGGTTTTTTTGACAGAAATAAAGGGTACAGTTCCCTGGTTTGGTTGCAGTGACCAGGGCAGCGGGGGAGGTCACCGTGCTGCCTGACCTGGCTGCGGGTGTGGGTGACTGGAAGCCACAAAATGCATTCGCCGTAGCGGCTGTCGGCAGACAGAGTGCCTCGGCAGGGCCAGGCAGGACAGGGGCTGCCGTGATGGGTGAGTGGTGACCCTCAGCTTCCTGCAGCGCTGCCTCTGATCCAAGCTCTGAACTCTAAAGCTCTCACTTGGCCTGACTGAAGCTGAGTTTTTATATTCTTCATAAACCAGACCAAACCTCTGAGAGGGTGATTTTCTTTGGGGTTCCCTCTGATGCATATCTCTCTGGTTTTTTTAAAAAACCCCCCCTCCCCCCCCCCCCCCCCCGCCCTGGCCATATAAGAGGTTTTTCATTTTTGACTGACTGACTTCTTAGGACACTGCGAAACAGTGTGTTCATTACTACTAGGTGGACCCAGATTGCTAGAGTGAAAAGCCAGCAACATCATTTCCTTGAAGGATGTGAATTCTGTTTAAAAACCCACCGAAAGAGGAGTATTGTTGATATGTGTGATATTTGCTACGGGAATGGCAACTAAAACGTTAATAATGGCTTTGTTCTGTCTTTCCGTTATCAATGGCAATTTTTAGACCGTAAAAGTTTCGGGTTGCTGTATATATAAAAGGAAATTATGTGATTTGAAATTATAATTGGGGAATATTTGATGCATCTGGTTATAGAGTAATGAATGAGAATAATTAATAGAAAGTTAATTGGGTAACATCAGAAAAGTTTATTCTGGTATATTGGGATTGCATGCTTCAGTTGATACTTAGTGTACTTTTGGGATTTCTGGTTGCACTTCACCTCTGGTTCTGATAGTATATTGTATTATGAAGAATATTAATAATGCTGCAGAACAATTACTTGTTCATTTGGTAACTAATTAAAATTCATGCATAATTTATTGGAACTGGGAGAGACTTTATAAGTAAGTCTCCTTGTCCTCAAGAGCTTAAAAACAAAATGCATATGCTAATATAAGAATACACTTTACCTCTTAACATAAAAATTTAATATGCAATGGTATATTAGTCTCATTAATGTGAGGTTTTATTTGTGATAATTGTGCTCTTAATCAAAGCGTATACGTTTAAACATAGCTTTATGTTTTAGAGGTTTATAACTCGGACTTGGTAGTGTATCATGCTCATCAACGTTTATGTTTTGTGTCGTAATATACACTGCATCAGCGTTTATGTTTTCTGCCGTAATATACACTGACCTTAGAATTCATTAGGTTGACATTTAATGTGTTAGTTCCGCAGCAAATAAACTGCCCTCATTAAGCCCAGCTGCATTTCTGAGCTTTGATGCAGGTAGGGATCTAAATTAGTTCATATGCACATTTCTTGCCAAAACAGGGTAAAACATGTTAATAATTAATTGAGATACTTTCCAGAGTTTTGTAAATCCCGAAGCAGAAACGGGAACACCTTGGAGCGTTCACCTTTTCACTCCAGGAGAAGAAAATGAGCTCCGCTTGCAGCCACTACTGCACGTTCACAGATTCCCTGGTCTACAAACTGAGTGGCTTGAGATACAGCTAATTTAGAAAGAAGTCTGCAAGAGATCCTTTTGTGCCAAAACATGGGAAACTTGGTTGCTTACAGAGCTGGTAAATACACTGTTGGGAGCCAGCTCTGGTATCTGGCGGGGAAACTTTACTGCTGGATGTAGAGAACCGGGGAGTCGTTAGCTGAACTTCACCTTGCAGGGAGGGTAGGATGTCAAAGGAGGTCTGGAGGCCCTCTGCGAGTCTCTCCATCACCACTCCCCACCACGGGCTCTGTCAGTGCCACTGGTGGGGTCATTCCCGGGAGGCAGAATATGTGCAGTGCTTCTGCGTCCTAGCTTCTCTTGTGCAGAGGGGTGGGGGGAGCGATGATGAGAAGGGCCCTCCTCTAGGGAAATGTTATGGTCTGGGTTTAAATGTTATTTTTAATATACTGGCCATGAGATCCCTCTACCTGCTCAGTTGCTGCGTTGTTAGTTCTGCATCGCTGCTGTGCGAAACCCCTGTGTGCATTGAATTTAGCATTGTTGCCTAATTAACTGAAACAAATTAGTTGAAATATGAGCCATCTGGAATGAAAATGAACCTTCCGTGTTTATCAGAGGATTCATTTTATTAGAAAAGTACATGTTGCTTGTGATTTGTTTCTTAAAATAAATCACGCCGAGGCAATGTGCTACTTCTCGACGTAACATTTCTCAGGGTAAGGGGGACTTCATCTCCCCGCTTGGTCCATTGTTACCTTTTCACTTTGCAGCTGTGTTGAAATACTTAGGCGGAAGCTGATGAGAACAGAGGAAGACAAAAGGCCTTAACGTACATCCTCTTGTTTGAGTTTCTAAATCAGTAGTAAGTTACTGAAGAATAAAATAATGTTACGTGTCGTTGCCCTACATCTTTGTTTTGTTATTCTTCTGGCAGCTTTGCTCAGTTCGGAGTATTCTGAATGCCTGCAATAGGCATCTGTATCTTTTACCCTAACTGCATCTCGTGGGTTTCAAATGAACTGCAGTGATAGTCATTTTTAAGAATATTCTGTGCAGGGCTAGTGTATCAACTATTGCAACTGTTTCTTTATGGAAAGTACATATATGGCTTCTGCCAATAAAAGAAAATAAGTAACGTTTCTGAAAATCTCAAGTTATTGCTATAGTAAATTATATAAATGAGCATGAACCCATATTTTTTTTCAGAAAAACTGTTAAGTAGCAGCAATATATAAATCAGAGAGGATTTTGTGGTCCCTAGCTGTGATTTTTAAATGGGAAAAATAGCATTGGGCAGATGCCAGTGGCGCACCACTCACGTCCATCAGCTGAAATTCTCCCCAGTTCTTCTTCTTTGATATCAGTTTGATTTTGCTTTCGAGTGTTGAAATCTTTGCTGACCAAAACCTGACAACTTTCTGTGGAAAGAGCCCTCTTCTTAATGGGTTTTCCAGATTTTGTTTCATCGCTGGCTTTTTCTTTTGTCTCCCCTACAGAGCCGCCTCGGCCGATAGCACCCCCGCAGCTACTGGGCGTTGGGCCCACGTACTTGCTCATTCAGCTGAATGCCAACTCAATCATTGGGGACGGACCCATTATCCTGAAAGAAGTGGAGTACCGAATGACATCTGGGACCTGGACCGAAACCCATGCCGTCAATGCACCAACTTACAAGCTCTGGCACTTGGACCCCGACACCGAATATGAGATTCGGGTGCTGCTCACCAGACCGGGCGAAGGTGGGACTGGACAGCCAGGACCACCGCTCATCACCAGGACCAAATGTGCAGGTGAGTGCTGCTTTGGAAAAATGAACAACCAAACGAAACTCTTTAATGATTTAATTGGTTGGCAGGCGTGTTGGCTCTAATTAACTTGTAGCAGAACTCAAGGGTTCCCTTGGCACCCACAGGATCCCCAGGTGTCTAGGCCAATATGGATTTGCTGCGTCCCCTGCTTGCCCGGGCACTGTCCAGGTTGCTGTTTGCTAACCCTGGGAGGGTAGGTTAGGAGACGGGATGTTAGCAAGCTAAGAAAACATTTTACTTCTCACGCGAGGAAGGAGACGTTATCATTTCTAGAAAGAACAAACCGCCTGTTTTTTCACCTTCATATTTTCACTTGTACTTTTAAGTAAACTTGCACATAAAGGTACTTGCATAGAAAAAGAATCTGTTTAAGAAATAGAATTTTACAAAAAATGTGGTATATTTTTGGGTAATTTTTCTTTTTCCAAGCAGATATGCGTGGCCTGCCAGAATCTCTGACAACTCCTAAAATACAATAGCAAATATTAATAGAGTGTTTTCTTTTCTCCATTTTTGACCTACCACCAGCAAAATCATGCACTGCTGAATCTAGCAGCGCACTCTAAAAAATCTTGAATTTTTTACAGTGCTGTTGCGTGGCCAGCACCAAGAAGATTAAGCGCTGCCAACTTCTCTTATATGCTGTTCCTTCTAAAGCTACTTAAAGTTATTTTAATCTCAGCTTTCATAAGAAGAAAGATAATGCCTATGTCTCGTAGTTGCAGATGAGAAAAATTATAGATTTGAAGATCAGACTGGGAGGCAAATAAGTGAAAATTAAATTGTGTGGGTTTTTTCCTAATTTCAGGATTTTTAGGGCATGATTTAAAGTATTTTTAAGTTTGCACTATATTAGATTTAGCAAAGAGTGCCGATAACCATCTATTCAAAGCTGCACTAAAATAGTAAGAAAGAAGAGCTGCAGTTGCAGATTTCCATGTGTCATGTATATGTATGCATATATAAAATGGAAATATAAATTAAATATTTTTTTCACAAGTTGGTGACAGACCTCAGTGGGACAGCTGTTCAAGTTCTCATCATTGATTTATTTTGTACTATTGGTTTAGGCATTGTTCTGAAAAAGTAGGAATTTGAAAACAGCTTCTATTTTAAAGAGAGCTGAGACTAACAAATCCCAAATGTTCCGGTTCTTTTTCCTAGCGCTTGCTTAAATATAATTTCATTTACACAGTGTGTGACAGACTAAAGCTTTTTAATGGGAAAGGAGAAGAAAGGAAGTCATGATTTATGTAATGTATTTTTAGAAGCCAGTTAGGAGAAACAACCTTATTGTGAGTGTTATTTTATTTTTAATTTGTTTTTAACTTAACACTCGCATATAAGGCACCAGAATCTAGTCTGGCTTGAGACAAATTTTCAACTCAATTTAATCCAGTATGAAATGAAGCAGATCAAAAAAAATACTTGGGGGAAAAAAAATCTGAACTTCCGTGACAATGTTATTTTAAAAATAATAAAATTTCAAATTGTTTACCTCGCAGTAAGACTGATTCTTCTTATTCCATGAAAATGAAGGTGAATAAATGTTACTATTAACCAGTTTCAATTAGAAAAAGGTGAGTCAGCAAGGGGTTGTGGAGACTGAAGGATTGTGCTCAGCATCAGAGATGAGTCAGGGACGGCACCAGGTTGAGCAGCAGGTCACCCTGCTGCCTCCTCACCTGCCTGGAAAATAAAGACAGACCTTCCTTTTCCACAGTGTTCTCCCAAGGCTTCTGTAAGATAACTGCAAGCCCAAGTCAATACAAATTTTTTTTTTAAATATTTCACTCGTAAAAGGCAAACTATAAACATAAAAATTAGTCTCTTCCAAAAAGACGATTTATAAGAAAAGGTAAAGCTAATAATGGAAGAGCTCACCCTGCAGTCTCTGCTGCTGCTGGCATTGTACGAGTGACTGGCAGGTGATTTACTGTGCCGTGTTAGATGACATCTCTGCAGCAATATCTTCTGGAGATTCTTCAATTATTCCTAATTCTTGTTTCTGACAAGATCACTTACTTTTCAGACAGATACTCTATTTTTCTGTCGATGTTCTTTGTCAATTTTGTCTTTCCGTAAGTTTTGTACGTATTAGTTCAAACTCTGAAACAAGTTATAACTGATTATCTGCTCAGAGTCCAATGGAGTGGCGGGAAATAAATGAATTTTCAGCATGAAGTTTGACTGCTCTCTATATGGATTAAAAAGCACACATTAGCAAATGTGGTTCTGATGAGGTTTTAATGTTTACATTCCAAGTAGCAACAACAGCAAACTCACTGACACATCAATAAGAATAGGTTAGTATTCTGCTTTCTGTTTATTTAATATGTAAGCAAATATTAGCATTGTTTTCAAATGAAGATTGAAAAATATTTTTTCTATAATTCATTCAGTATTTATAACTTCATGACATTTCTTAATAGCATATTATTGATCAGGTGGCCTGTGCTTTGTTGGAGATGTATCCTACTTCTGAACTATTTGAGCGATGATTGTATTTATGCTGGTATCAGACATGCACTTTTATTATTAGGTATTTAGATCATTTTCCGTCTTCCTCACAGCAAAACCAGTGTCTGGTGACTCATTTAGTAAATGTTTCCGCTAATGCTAAACAAAATTGTTTTCTAATTAAGAGATAATTCTTCTGCTAGTTAAAAGTCCTCCACCAGCCTGTTTGTCTCCTCGGCATTTCCCAGGTAATCTGTCCTGCGCTGAAGCTGAGTGACGGCATTTAGCTAGAAAACTTGCATGTTGTTTTATCAGTCTGCAATTAAAGATAGTGCTGAGTAGTCAAATATATGAAACCACTGAGTCTTTTTAAATGGCTGAAGTAAGACTAAAACATGTGAAGCAAAACATTATTTTCCGACACTATCCTCCTTAATAGCCAGGTGTATGCTTTGTATTTCCATTTCTAAGCGCAGCTGAAATCAGTGCAGAGCGTGGTGGTGTGTACCCGGCTGCGTGTGGTTAGGCACAAATCATTTCAAGCTGCTGATGCTGGAGGCTGCTTCCTCCCCCTCGATCCTCGCGGGGCACCTGGGCTTTATTTCAGTATGGCTACACCTCTTGCACAGTGTCATTGCTCAGATTATTCACTTCTCAAGCGTTTTAAGACCAGAACCAAAGGCAGAGGGTAGCACTTTAATCAGAAGTAATCCTTAAGGCTGTTTTCTGTGGCTTTGGGGCGTGTTGTCCTGAGCATATCCTCTGCATTGTGATTGCCTTTCCTTTGGGGGGGTGTAGAAAATATATGGTATTCTAAAATTGTCCACTTAGCATGCTTTATCAACTGTAAGTTAGAAGTTACTCTCTTACATTGGCTGCTGCTTCTGAGTAACAGCTCACAGCTCAGTTTTATGATTAACTGATATTTTAGTGGCAAAGGAGGTCAATAGTTCAGCCTGTCCAGAGCTTAATATATGTACACAGTGGAATTGCTCGCTGCTACTTTACTGAAGTTCAGTGCAAGGGTGTGATTTTCAGTAAAACATGAAGAATTGTAGAGCAGTTGGAGAAAAAGTCCTGGGTGTTTTGGGGTTTTTTTCCAAATGACTTGATATTAGTAAACTGTTACCTGTATTATTTGGTTTTGATAATAAAATGAGTAAGGGGGAGGGGAAGCTTTATAGCTTTATCAGAGCTGAGAATGGAACAATATTTTTTTATTATTATTATTATTATTATGTTGTTGTTGTTGTTCAAAATCATTATCCGTCACAGAGATCTAGGTATTGGTAACAATCAGCCTCAAGGCACAATAGCAGAGATGCTGGTTCAGCGGTGCAGTGCTGGTGTATGATCGCCTGCAGTTGAAGGCTTGGGAGCTGGGCTCCCTTTTGCCTGCCCTTTTCAAGCGCAGAATGTTTGTTTACAATTTGCACATTTATTAATTTTGGTAACAATGTACACAGAATACAGGATACTGCTGAATTCCCCTCTAGTAAAAAAAAAAAAAAAAGGGGTACTTAAAGTTATTTTAATCTCAGCTTTCATAAGAAGAAAGATAATGCCTATGTCTCGTAGTTGCAGAGGAGAAAAATTATAGATTTGAAAATCAGACTGGGAGGCAAATAAGTGAAAATTAAATTGTGTGGGTTTTTTCCTAATTTCAGGATTTTTAGGGCATGATTTAAAGTATTTTTAAGTTTGCACTATATTAGATTTAGCAAAGAGTGCCGATAACCATCTATTCAAAGCTGCACTAAAATAGTAAGAAAGAAGAGCTGCAGTTGCAGATTTCCATGTGTCATGTATATGTATGCATATATAAAATGGAAATATAAATTAAATATTTTTTTCACAAGTTGGTGACAGACCTCAGTGGGACAGCTGTTCAAGTTCTCATCATTGATTTATTGTACTGAATTGGTTTAGGCATTGTTCTGAAAAAGTAGGAATTTGAAAACAGCTTCTATTTTAAAGAGACTGAGCTGAGACTAACAAATCCCAAATGTTCCGGTTCTTTTTCCTAGTGCTTGAAAAAATATAATTTCATTTACACAGTGTGTGACAGACTAAAGCTTTTTAATGGGAAAGGAGAAGAAAGGAAGTCATGATTTATGTAATGTATTTTTAGAAGCCAGTTAGGAGAAACAACCTTATTGTGAGTGTTATTTTATTTTTAATTTGTTTTTAACTTAACACTCGCATATAAGGCACCAGAATCTAGTCTGGCTTGAGACAAATTTTCAACTCAATTTAATCCAGTATGAAATGAAGCAGATCAAAAAAAATACTTGGGGGAAAAAAAATCTGAACTTCCGTGACAATGTTATTTTAAAAATAATAAAATTTCAAATTGTTTACCTCGCAGTAAGACTGATTCTTCTTATTCCATGAAAATGAAGGTGAATAAATGTTACTATTAACCAGTTTCAATTAGAAAAAGGTGAGTCAGCAAGGGGTTGTGGAGACTGAAGGATTGTGCTCAGCATCAGAGATGAGTCAGGGACGGCACCAGGTTGAGC